CGAGCGGCTCAGATGGCACAGCAGGGTTGGATGTTCCCTTTGCAGTATGTCACATAATTCTGAGCTTTTGTGCAAACTGCCAGGAGACAAGGAAAACACAGCATTACTGGGGGAAAATCAAATATTCCATTTTCTAGACAAACCGTAGGAGCTCTGGGCTGTCTTTAGTAATAAAAGTATTAGTGTTTCTACATAAATGTGCTGGCCTAGTCCCAGGCTGATTAGTGAAGAATAACAAGCCTACCTGGCCATCTGCAGCCTGCAGGGAAAGAGCTGTGCTCTTGGAGTTTTTAAAAACTGATTTTCTCACTGCATCAATCTGCAGTGAAATAAAAAAAAGTGTTCAACCCTATTCCAAGAAATAAATGAACAGATCCCTGCGGTTCCTTTATTCTTGCTCCTCTCTCCTTGCATCCATTCACACCCAGCATGGCCAGCACAGCACCCATGGGTGAGCCCTAGGGGAGCCCCCAGCTCAGCATGACCCAGCACAGGGTGAGGCTTCTGCTCTGCTGGGTCAGGGCTTTTTAAATCAACTGGAAGGCAGATGTAAAGGAAGACAAAGTCTGGGGCCTGATCCAAAGGCAATGGAAAGCCTGGGACAAAAAGGACTTCACTGTGCTCTCTAAGCCTGTGTGAGCACCCTCACAGCTGCAATTTGCAGTGGCTGAAATCCCCCTTAGCAGAGACGTCTGACACTGATAGGCTCTGACACACACCTTCAGATCACTGCACCAGTTAGAATGAAAATACAACAAACAGTTCCCAGCTTCTCCAGAGGCAACGCAACCTGGAGGCAGAAGTCAGTGTACTGAAAAGTCCTGGCAGCGAGTGGAGTCACTGCTCTGCTCTGCACTGTGCACCTGCACAAGTCTGCAGGAGGGAGATAACGGGGAGAGATGTGGCTGAATGCAGACACCCATCAGCCCGGCCCTGACAGCTGTGCCAGCAGTGGGGTTACGGCAGGAGACATGCACATCCTGCACAGCATCCTCGCTGTCACGTCAGAGTCATACAGTCACAGAATGGCTTTGGTTGGAGGGGACCTTAAAGATCATCCAGTTCTGCCCTTCTGCTGCAGGCTGGGTGCCACTCACAGGTCAGGCTGCACAGGGCCCATCCAACCTGGCCTTGAATGCCTCCAGAATCACTGCTCCACTCCAGCATCCCCAGGGCTGGATCCAGCTCTGCTCTGAAGCTCTGTTTAGAGAGGGAGATGTTGGTTCCTGTTTGGTGTGGGGCTTTTTTTAATTGCTGTATTCCTCCGAAGGCCATTGAAATATAGGGACATCAGCTCCCACTGCCTCAAGTGAGTTCCCACCCACATGGCAAGTGTGAACCTTGACCTTGGCAAAAGGAGATTGCTAGGGCTCCCATCTTTTCCTGATGTCTACCAAGCCCCTCCAGCAGATATCTTTGTGCTGTGCAATCAATGGGCACACAAAGAAATGCTGCCCAGGGAGGGCAGCAGCTCAAGGAGAGCTCCCAAGTATCTGAAACCCTTTATTAACAAAAGGTTGAGTTCCACTCTAAGGTAACAGTGGGTTGAGTTTGTACAGGAAATGACTCGGAGCAGTTAGAATGTATTTTTGCCATCATAAAATGATCTGTTCTCAAGAGTTCTAATATAAGAAGATCCTCAAGGCTCTGCTGGAGCCCTGACTGCTCTGTCATTAGAACAGCATGCAATCTGCACTCCTCTTCTACTGCAAAAATTGGGGATAAAGCTTTTGATCTCCCTTTTCTTGTGGCACACCACAGTCTTTGTCAGGGATACTTCTCAGGACCTGAGATCTCAGGCTTCTTTCTGAGCCTTGAGGGCAGTGGAAGAGCAGGAGGTGAGGGCAGATCCTGCAGATTTAAATTTAAGGGGATGTTTGACTGCAGGAGACAGATGTCAATGAAAGTATTAATGATGAGCTTTCAGAAGAAGGGGGTGCCGTTTGGTTTTGCTTATAGCTTTGCAAACCACGAGCGCAAACCACTGAGATCCGTGAGTTACACACAGCCCATGGCTTTTTTTTTTTTTTTTAAATAACTCTTTGCACCTGAGTGAATCAAAGAATCATAGAATCACTGAGATTGGAAAAGAGCTCTCAGATCCCCAAGTCCAACCCCAGCCCATCCCACCATGCCCACTGACCACAGTGCCACATCTCCACAGTTCCCAAACACCCCCAGGGACAGTGACAGCCCCCCCCCCCCCCGGCAGCTGTGCCACTGCATCACCACTTTTTCAGAGAATACATTATTCCTAACATCCAACCTGAGGATTCTTCCTCAGAAACTATTTCAATGACAGATGAACACCTGTGCACAATGTGGCAGAAAGCAAACATTGCTCCAAGGAGCTTCAATTGCCAAGCTGCAGAGATTATCTATCAGCGTGTTTGCAACTTGAGAAAAGGCTGCTTGGCACATGCTATTCATTTAAGCAATGCAGCCAGATCAGTCCCTGTGTGTCCCAGGGGATGTTATCCTGCAGTTGCTTTCGCTGTCTCTTTGTCATCCACTTCCATCACAGCATTATTTTCCACTTCCAGACACTAAACCAACAGATGATAGCGCCGAGCTGCTATGTTTGGGATAAAGAAATGAATGCATAGATCCCATCCGGCAGCACGTATTTGGGATCTGAGAAACCTCACCACTGGGCTCCTCCAGAGCTGGCTCAGTCTCTGCCCTTCTCAGGCAGATGCTGTATGAGGACCTCTGTGATTTGGCAGGTCCTAGCAGGGAGCCTTGGCTCCTGAGCACTCTCACTGCCCTCCTCCTGCCCAGCACGCCCTTACATGAAGCTGTCTGCAGCCATCAGTGCACAATATTGGTGTGAGGACGGTTGGACTAGGTGGTCTTAGAGGTCTTTTCCAACCTTAATGATTCCATGATTCTATGACCAGAACCTCCCTGCCACCTCCAGGACCTCACCTTCCAGCCCCATCTATACACTGACCTCACAAGCCAGCAATGGTGCACCAGCTGTTCCCCTGATAAAGAACACATTGGACACAAATGGTCCTACACTGCTCTTATCTACAACCTAATAAGCAGGCTATTAGAAAATTCTAAAATTAAGCTCTGAGCATCTGGAAAAAAAAAATACTATCAAGAACAGAGAATAAGACTCAAAGCAGAGCTGGGTCTGGTTTGGCACATTAGAACAAATGCCACCAAAGGGGAAATTTTGTGCGTGAACCACATTACTCATCATCTTCATATCAATACCTTTTAGAGCACTACAAGAAAGGAAAACCTCAGGGGATTAATACATTTTGAGATTCATAAAAGATACATTGCTCCTCGATTCCTTGACTTCGTGTGCAGTATGTCTCTGAGGTCCTACTCTGACATTAACTCTGCACTGAGCTCCGTATTTCCATCCAATTAAAACACACCTTCCTGAAAGGCATTTGCAGCCCTCACTCAGATGTCTGGAGAAATGGAAAATTCGCTGCTCCTCCTGTCACCCACACTGCTGAAAAATGCACATCAGGGTGTGCGTGGCCAAATGGGAACCTCCAGCATCCTGCTCTGTGCTGTGCCCCGCTCAACTCTCTGCTTAGAGCCCTGCTTGTCTCTGCCATCTCCTGGGCTCGCTCAAAACACAACAGGCAGCGTGGCAGGCAACAAAACACCATTTCTCCTCCCTTTGGCCCTCTGTCCCAGCTGCTAAACGAGGACAGAAGAAAACAGAGCAGAAACAAAAAGGAGACGGGGCTGCGAAAGCTGCGTGCAGCCCAGAGATGTCAGCCTGTGCCAAAGCCGGATCTCATTCAGAAGCCATGCAGTCCATGGGTGCAGGCAGGTCCTGGCCTCGGTGCAGCACCGCCGCATTCCCAGCTGTCAGCCCAGCTGTGCCCAGGAATGCAGTGGCCGTGGCGCTGGCCCGGGACGGAGCCCCAATTTTGGGTGGGAAAAACATCCCCCATCTCACGCCTGTGTTTAAACTTCGCCTGTGCGCTCACCGATCCGACCTCTGCCTGAGATTCGATTGAGATCCCACTCTCTCAGCGTTCAAATCTGCTATTTTGTTGAATAAGCTTTTAACAGATACGTGCAACCACGAGCAGCACCGGGCAGCAGGGCAGAGTTACGTGTGTGTTTGTTAACTTACAGCAAAGTACATCCAAGCGGCCAAGGCAGCATCCTGTATTGCTCAGTCCTGCTCCTACGGTGAGTCCTGCTGAGTGGTGAGTGCCACCACTTCGGAGCACTGTGCAGAGGCTCAGAGCACCGCTCCAAAACGCACGCTGAGCAGGGATTAAAACAGGCAAATGAGCACAGAGCATTCTGGGTGCAGGCATAAAGGGCAGTTAATTCCTATTGGAAATCAATGGGCGCTGAGGGAATGCAGCTCTCCTGTACCTCGGAAATGTGTCAGTTAACGATAGCTGGCCTCAATCTCTGCTTTCTCTGAGACAGTAACGTGAGGCGTTCGCTGATTTTGCAGATTTCCCACCTAACCGCTCAGAAAACTTTCCGTGAAGCACCGCTTCGCAGCGCCAGGTGGACCAGCAGCCTCCAAAACCCGAACTTCGATCTCTCCTCCGTACTGCCGCGCTATTCGGAGCGAAGGAAACCCACGCACTAAACGCCTAACTACTTCGGAGAAATAACGAGGCTGCTCCAGCCCCGGCTCTGCATCCATCTCGCAGCGCACGGCTGCACAGACCCCAACGTGCAGAAGCTCGGGGCTCTCCCCGCGGCGCTCTCCAAGCCGAAGCGACGAACGCCGCCGCTCCGGGAGGGACGGGCAGAGCGGATCGGAAACTTTGCAGAGCCGCTCCCGCAGCCGGCTCCCACCGCCCGACCCGGGCGGCTCTGCGGGCTCCCGGCCGTCCGGCGGGGCGGCTCCGTGCCGGGCAGCGCCGCGGCCCTTCCCCGGGGGCAGCCCCG